ACGTCTTAAAATCAGAACTCCCAGAATACAGTGTCACATACCACACAAGATCTTACTCATTGATTCTTGCTTTCTCAGTGACCTTAGTTTCCTCAAACCTCTTAGTTCATTCTATCATTTCGAGCTTCTCGAATTTCATAATTCCATCTCTTTCTTGCATTCTAGACATCTCAATGGGTCATAAAATTTTATGTGGAAGCTAATCAATAATGATAAGAGAGGCAGGTTACGAATCAGTAATCACCTATTTTAATATTCTTTATCTTTTATTCTCAAAATATAAACAGGTAAGTTAATTCTGGCAGGATGTGTCAATATCTCAGTATTATTTGGTCTTAAAATTTAATGGTGCATAAGAAATCATTTACAAATAAGTTATTAAACAAATATTAGTTTCACAATACTCACATTGTAGAGGGGAGATAATTCGATTCTCAAAATTCAAATACCGCCAGAAATCTTCATGAGAACTTGCTTCTCTCCACTGCCTGCAAACCATTGCTGCTCGACAAAGGTCAATGTGGTCCAAGAAAGTAAAAACCTGCAGTATATTCACAAAATAAAAAATCATCACTTCGTAGTCTAAAATGACAAACAAGAAGCACCTGACTTCTGAACTACAATAGTACATACCATATGCAATAAGTCGTCGGTAAGATCCATAGGGACTTCTAAGTCCTCAATTTTTAAGGTCCCATCACTATCTTTCCTAGCACTATCTCCCGTGCTAATAGAATAAGGCATATCCTCATCACCAACATGCTCATGCACTGGAGAAAGGTAATGGATTTCATTTTCAAAATGACTTCCCCAATCCCTGCAAAATTATTCTTTATCAGAATTCAAAGAAGCAGGATCAATACGGAAAGTAAGACAATTATGAAGTGAGGTTTACAGGTATCTCACAAATGCTATACACAAAGTCATAGGAACCAATTATAAATGAAACAAGGACCAGAAGAATAATTGTGAGATAAGAACTCTTAAACCCCAATATGAAATAGGAAATTATTGCTCTTGCATCACAATCTAAGAAGCGTATACACTCCTATGGCAGGCATGTCATTTCTGTGTCAGACATTGACACTCTCGCCATGCGTCCTACAAGCCTCATGCTGTGTCCTATTTTTTTATACTTTCTAAATTTCCAATGCTCGAGGGATGCTTAGGGGACACTCCTCACGCAAGTGTTCCACATGCCACACGAGCCATGTTATACATTAGGAAGTATAAAAATGAAGATATAATAGATAATGGTAAAATTTTTAAAGAATCCAAATCAATGTGTTTGTGCACTAATTTTTCGAAAAATCACTGATCATCATGTCTGTGTCCTAATTTTTTTACATATCACGTGTTAGCGTGTACTGGTTGTGCATGTCCTGATCTCGTGCGCGTGCTCGTGCTTCTTCGATGAATTCCATTCCAGGATAAACTAGGAAACAACCTCAGGAGCCATTAAATACTACAATTCAGTTAAATTTAATTTCAATCTAATACCAGACTTCCATAACCATTCCAGCCAATAGCCTTGTGGATTTGGCATATATTACAATACTGAGAGTTATGTCCCAGTTACACAATTATACAGCTAGATATTCAAAACATTAAATTCATTGACGCAAATTAAATAAGTCAACGATTTCTATTTCCAAATGAAAACACGCAACCATGAGCAGAAGATGGAAAACATTACAAGGATAATGAATGAACTTTGGGACGTTTATTCTGAGAATCACGACTGCGATCCTCTCTCCCCTGCACCACTGTTGATGACAATGACGAAGAAGCCTCAGCACCCAATCCCAAATTCAGATTAACATCCACGTTCAACCCCTGACTCTCTCTGCCACCACCAGTACTGCTAGACCCCAAATCATCAATCCACCTCAATAAATCCTCACTCTTTTTCTCAAACTCAATATTAAAATTAAAGTTTTCATTATTATCTGTCGCATTCACTCTCTCATCATCCACCTGGAATCCTAACCCCGGCCTATCATCACCACCACCACTGCTACCATCTCCAAAAGGTTCCCAAAAAACTAATTCAGATTCATCATTCTCCGCGTCCTTACTCCCAGTTCCCAAAATACCCTCTCTCATTGCCTCTATTCCCTTATTGTCGAAATTGAAATAATACCTAATATCAAGATTACTAATATCACTATTCCTTTCTTCCTCTTCTTCTCCTAAGCATAGAAAAGAAAAACACCAAATCTTCATACACACGCTCGAAAACCTACAATCACCAACAACAAAGCTCCCAACTTTACAAACGTAGTTGACGATCTCCCACACTCCACCCACAAAAACCCTATCTTTACCTCAACGATTCACCACATTCCACAAAACCCCGAAAATCACACAAATAATACGAGATTTGGTGGGAAAACTATGGTCTTTATTTCGCCTCATAATTGGTAAAACGGACAAATAAATTAACGACTATACAGATACAGAAACGAACAGATCGGATCAGATAGAAGGAGTAGGGATGAATCTTTTTTTGGGAGTCTTCTTCGAAAAGATCGGCGGTAAATGGGAATTTATTTTCTTGAATTTCTTCTCTCTGCGAAGAGCTGCATCTTTTGCTTTGGCTCATAAATGGCGTTTTTCGGAATTTTGGGCATCCCAGTGGCATTATTCTATTTATTTATTATTATTTTTTATCATTGTTTCGGTTCAGGCATCTAAGTGGACTGTTGTGGCCAAATCCTGATTCAGTCACTTTTTGGGCCGATATAATTTCGGTTAAATTGTTTGGTCACCACCTCACATAATTATGAAGGAGATTTGCAGGAGAGGTCCAAATCTTTTAAAAAATTACAGTGAGATTCTTAACCTTTAAATCATAGCATATACATTCCAAAACTTTTCAAAAAATGCTTTAGAAGGACCTCAAGACAATTTTTGTTTAAAAATTCGTTAGTTGGCCAAAAGTTGACCATAATTTGATTATCTTTAAAAATGATAAAATGGTAAATCTACAATGTTTCAATTTAAAATAATTAAATAAAAAAGGGAACAAAAAAGGAGAAAAAAAATTAAAAAAATATTCATCTTCCTCACACATCCCTAACTCCTTACCAACACCAAACCCCATTACTATGAGAGTGTTTGGTGGGGATAAAAATTAGATTTTTTTTAATAAATTGTAATAGAAGTTTTTGAAATGTATGGTTGAAAAGTTGTGAAACTCATGAAAGTTGTGATTAATAATAATTGTTTGACTTTAACTTAGATTAAAATTAGATTTTAATCCAAACCAAATAAGCTATATATCTGACCCTCAAATATAATCATGTATTCCTCGACATTTCCTCCAAATTCTTGCGGGTCACCAACACCCTTTTCCATAAATAATCATCTTCTCCTCTTTCATGTATTATGCCCATGACAGCACACAAATTATAACCTATACTTCTTAAAATTAATGCAGTAATGGAAATAAGGAATCGATCCCGCGAAGAGTGATTAGTTTATTTTCTATACTTGATTAACTGAAATGGGGGTTTTGATTTTTGAAACAATTAATTCTTAAGAAAAACAACTAATATTAATGCAAATCAATAAATTGGATGAAATCAATAAAACGAACCTTA